CCCACGGAATGGGAGAAGATATTCGCAAATGACACAACAGACAAAAGGCTGATAATCCAAGATCTAATAAAGAACTCCTCCAACTCAACACTCAAAAAACAGAAAATCACATAAAAAAATGGGCAGAAGACATGAACAGACACTTCTCCAAAGAAGACATACAAATGGCTAACAGACATGAAAAAATGTTCATCATCATTAGCCATCAGGGAGATTCAAATCAAAACCACACTGAGATACTACCTTACACCAGTTAGAATGGCCAAAATGAACAAGACAGCAAACAACGTGTGTTAGAGAGGATGTGGATCTTACACTGTTGATGGGAATGCAAGTTGGTGCAGCCACTTTGGAAAACAGTGTGGACATTCCTTAAGAAATTAAAAATAGAGGGGCACCTGCGTGGCTCAGTGGGTTAAGCCTCTGACTTCAGCTCAGGTCATAATCTCAGGGTCCTGGAACTGAGCCCTGCATTGGGTTCTCTGCTCGGCGGGGAGCCTGCTCCCCCCCCCCTTTCTGCCTGCCTCTCTGCCTACTTGTGATCTCTCTTTCTCTGTCAAATAAATAAATAAGATCTTTATTAAAAAAAAAAGAAATTTAAAATAGAGGTAATAGGGTTACTGATTGGCTCAGTCATTAAGTGTCTGCCTTCGGCTCAGGTCATGATCTCAGGGTTCTGGGATCAAGTCCCACATCAGGCTCCCTGCTCTGCAGGAAGCCCACTTCTCCCTCTCCCGCTCCCCTTGCTTGTGTTCCCTCTCTCACTCTCTCTCTGTCAAATAAATAAAATATTTTTTTAAAGATTTTATTTATTTGATAGACAGAGATCAAAGTTGGCAAAGAAGCAGGCAGAGAGAGAGGAAGGGAAGCAGGCTCCCTGCCAAGCAGAGAGCCCGATGCGGGGCTTGATCCCAGGATCCCAGGATCATGACCCGAGCCGAAGGCAGAGGCCCCAACCCACTGAGCCACCCAGGTGCCCCAATAAATAAATCTTTAAAAAAAAAATAGAGCTACTCTATGACCCTGCTATTGCACTACTGGGTATTTGCCCCAAAGATACAGACGTAGTGAAAAGAAGGGTCATCTGTACCCCAATGTTCATAGCAGCAATGACCACAGTCACCAAACTGTGGAAAGAGCCAAGATGCCCTTCAACAGACGAATGGATAAGGAAGATGTGGTCCATATATGCAATGGAGTATTATGCCTCCATCAGAAATGATGAATACCCAACTTTTGTATCAACATGGACAGGACTGGAGGAGATTATGCTGAGTGAAAGAAGTCAAGCAGAGAGAGTTGATTATCATATGGTTTCACTTACTTGTGGAGCATAAGGAATGACATGGTGGATATTGATTGAAGGAGAGGAGAAGTGAATTTGGGGAAATCAGAGTGGGAGACAAACCACGAGAGACTGTGGACTCTGAGAAACAAACTGAGGGTTTTGGAGGGGAGGAGATGGGTGTTGGGAGACCCTGGTGGTGGGTATTAAGGAGCACTGGGTGCATGGTACCTAAACAATGAATCTTGGAACACTGAAAAAATTAAATTAAATTAAAAAATGTTTTTGAGGACATAAAAAAAAAAAAAGATGTGATCCTTTCAGGGGTGCCTGGGTGGCTCAGTTGTTAAGCATCTGGCTTTGGCTCAGGTCATGATCCCAGAGTCCAAGGATGGAGCCCCGAATTAGGGTTTTTGCTCTGCGGGAGGTCTGTTTCTCCCTCTCCCACTTCCCCTCTTTGTGCTCTCTCTCTCACTGTCTCTCTGTCAATTAAATAAATAAATAAAATTTAAAAAAAAACAAAAAGAAAGTGATCCTTTGAGAAATGGATGATTGTAGGGGTGTTTGGCTAGCTCAGCTGGTAAAGCACGTGACTCTTGATCTTGGGGTCATGAATTCAAGTCCCACTTTTGGCCTAGAGCTTATTTAAAAAAAAAAATAATGATGTAGTCCTGTCACTTTCTGCCTTTCAATAGCATCCCATTTCAATAGCTCAGAAAATAAAGCCCCAGATTTCCCTCACTTATTTAACAAATGTTTATGGAGCCCATGTTATGTGCCAGAGATTGTGTTAGGAGCTTGGGATAAATCAGGAAAGCAGACAAATATTCATGCTCTGGTGTTACATTTTATTTTATTAAAGATTTTATTCATTTGAGAGAAAGAGAGAGCGAGCACAAGTGGGAGAGGGGCAGAGAGAAGCAGGCTCCCTACTGGGTGGGGAGCCCCACATGGGGCTCAATTCTAGGACCTTGGGATCATGACCTGAGTGGAAGTCAGATGCTTAACCAGTTGAACCACCCAGGCACACCTGGTCTTATATTTTAGAAGAGAAGATAAAAGGGGCATCTGGGTGGTTCAGTTGATTGAGCATCCGCCTTTTGATTTGGGCTCAGATCATGACCTCAGGGTCATAGGATGGAGCCCCACGGTGGGGCTCAGGGCTCCATGCTCAGTGGGGAGTCTGCCTGAGATTCTCTCTCTCCTTCTCCTTCTGCCCCTCCCCCTACTCTTTCAAACAAATAAATAAGTAAATCCTTTTAAAAAGATGAAAAAGTGCACAATCAATACATAAAGTATATAGGATCTTATTGGTGATAAATGCTACAAATAAAATAAAAACTAGAGTGAGGGGAATGGAGGTGACTGCAAGTTTAAATAGGATGGTCAGGGTGGGCTTCATTCAGTTGACATTTGGGGGAAGGCTTGAAGGAGGTGAGGGGTCAGCTATGTGGGTATCTAGGGAAGGGCGTTCCAGACAGAGAGGACAGCCAGTAAGAGGCTCTGAGGCAGAACCTACCTGCTTTGCTTAGAGAGCAACAGGGAGGACAGTGTGGCTGGAGCCATTGCATGTGGGGGGTAAGGACAGAGAGAAAAGAGCGGGACAAATCTTTTAATCGTTCTGTAAAATGATAATAATAATAGTTGCTGCATCATAGGGTTGCTATGAAGATTAAATTTGTACAACACACGACTCATCAGAGTGCCCAAGCAGTGGTGGACTGTGCACGAGTGTTATGAAACGCCCGGGTGCATGTCCACCCTCCGCCGCCAAGTGTCAGCAACGAGTTCAGGCCGAGCCGGGGCCAAGACAGCCAGGTCAAATGGGGTGAAGTCCTGCCCAGACGCCTCCCGCCTCTGGGCCACTACAGCAACCCTCTCCTGGACAAGCCGCGGCCACGTGAGCGCCGAGCTCTGGCACACTGCAAGCACTCCGAGTCCTTTGCTTCTCTGCGCATGCTGTCCTCCCCACCAGAACCAGCCTTCCTTCTTCCTTCTTCCACCGGCTGGAGCCGTGCCTGCCTCCAGAGCTCAGAGGCCTCGTGGCCCCGTCCAGGATATTGCCAGGAAGCTGGAAAAGAACGGGTGGGAATGGTGTGAGGATGAGGGGGCACAATGGAAATCCAGAGACTCAGGGAGCCCTATCCTCGTGGTATACGCAGACCTTCCTCCAGTTCCTCAGGCCCTCTGGCCCTGGTAAAGGGTCCCACCTCTGCTGAAGTTTAAAGACAGGCTTTGGGCTCCAAAGATGTTGCCTGCTTCATTTAATCCTTTTTTAATTAAAAAAAAAAGAAGGGGGGGGATGCCTGGTTGTCTCAGTCAGTTAAGTGTCTGCCTTGCACTCAGGTCATAACACCCCTGGGATCCTGGGATGGAGTCCCGCATCAGGCTCCTTGCTCCCCGGGGAATCTCCTTCTCTCTCTGCCTGCCATTCCCCCTGCTTGTGCTCTCTCTGACAAATAAATAAGTAAATACAATATTAAAAAGAAAACTTATATCAAAAAATTTAAAAGTGAAATTTAAAAAAATATTTAGAAAATACATAATCATGGTAAAGAAAAATCCGATTAGTACAAATACAAGTACACACACACACACACACACACACAGAGTAAAGTCTCTCTATCACTCCCTGCCTAGGAAAAGTAAATAGTTTTTTTCACTGGTTTCTGCATTTGGTCTCACCCACATCCAATCTTCCAAACATTATAGCCACAGGATTCTATCTAAGGAGCAGATCAAATTAAAACTCTTCAATGACCTCTCACTCTCTCAGGATGAATTGCAGGCTCCTTGCCCTTCACGATCAGGCTCTCGTCACCCCATTCAGCCCTTCTTCCTAGACTCCACATGGCTGCAGGCATATCCTCAGATTATCCAGACTATTCTCTGTCTTGTCATGCCCTTCCCACTAAGGCTTGGGTACCTGACCACATCCTACTCATGCTGCACCTGTACCAATGTCCCAGACCCTATCTGATGCTTCCTTCCTGTGCAGCCTTCATCAGGATTTAGGACACTGAAACTTTCTTCCTCTGTGGGTCAGGGGAGGGTCCACTTATTTGATTCAATACGCCAGCTCCTCTTCTGGCACAGAAAAGTCACCCAATCAGCACGTCAGGCATGAATGAATAATAATAACATACTCACATCGTGCTAATTTCATGCCTGGCACTGTTCTAGGCAGTTTACATCTATAAACTCATATACCCACACAATCCCAAATTTGGTACATCCTAATTTTACGAACACAGAAATTAAAGCATGAGGCAGTTTAAGTCAAGTCATTCCAGATGGTAAAAGTGGCTGAACTAGGGTTTGAACCAGCAGTCTGGTTTTCCACAAATGAGTCAAGAAATAATGGTAGGGAGGGATGGGACCGCAGGGAAGGGAAGCAGGCAGGATTTGGTCTGCGTGCTTCACATCTAAAGGTCTTCTCGTCCTCTCCCATTTCGCTCCCAGGAAGCCTGTTTTATAAAACAGGAGACAGAGACCCAGGGAGACCACAGGAAGGAGCCGTGGAAATTTATCTGGGGGTCCAGGAGCAGGGGCGTAGCTGATGGTCTGGCTCCAAACTACAACTCCCAGGAGGCACCGGGCCCCCAAAGCCCACACGACGTCACGGCGGCAGAGGGCGCAGGCGGCTCGGCTCTCCCGGCCCGTCTACCGTTGGGCCATTCCGCTCGGACCTCGGCCCTGGCCCTGGCCCTGGCCCTGGCCCCGGCCCAGGCCCAGGCCCCGCGGTAAGTGGAACAGCCGGCGCGGACCCTGCCTGCCGAGGCTTGCGGCGCGTGCTCGTAGCCTCCGGCATTGAGCTGGACCGCGGGGTGCGGGCGGACCGGGGTGGCATCTACCGTAAAGGGGGGGATCCGGGCCGAACCAAGTGACCCTGCGGAGGGGGAACCCAGACGGCGACTCCGGGGCCGCTACTTCGATGCAGCCGGCCCCCGGGGGCACAAAGCTGTGCCACACACAGGCAGGCCACGCTCGTGGGGGCCCGGGTCTGAAGGCGCTGGGTAGGGGTCAGCCCCGCCCCCTGAACGAGGGTGCCCAGGACCACCCGGAGGGGTGTTGTTTTCGGGCTGGACGCGTCTGAGGATCCCCTCCCCTCCAGGCACCAGATAGAGCCTCAAGTTGAAGAATAGCCCGGGAAAACAAGGTTGTACGGGCTCGGCCCGTGTGTGTTTGGGGAGGTGGTTGCATGGGTGGGTATAGAGATTGCCCAGGTCTGATGATACCAGTGTCCACGTGGAGATATGGTGCAAATTGTCTGGATTCGGATCCTTACAACTACCCCTTCCCTTTCCCCGGCAGATGGGAGCTGCTCCCTGGGGGCTGAGCTTGTCAGCATCCCTGACCTGCCGTCGTTGCTCCTGAAGTCAGAGAAAAGCCCCTGCCCACCCATACAACCCCTGCCCCGCTTTGGGGTCGCCTTGGTGTATCCAGTGCTCTGCCCTAGCAGCCGCCTAGTCTGAAAAGAAACAAAGGAGCAGAGCAGGACAATGATACTGGCGTCCGTGCTGGGGAGTGGTCCCCGGAGCGGACCTCCACTCCGGCCCTTACTGGGGCCTGCACTCTCGCTCCGGGCCCGCTCCACATCAGCCACCGATACGCACCACGTGGAGATGGCGCGGGAGCGCTCCAAGACTGTCACCTCCTTTTACAACCAGTCGGCCATCGATGTGGCCGCAGAGAAGGTGCGCAACTGGGCAGAGGTCCGGTCTGGAGCTGGGGACGATGTTCAGGGAAGGGGTGGAGCTAATGTGGTGGGGGCGGGTGTTGCAGATCCAGTCCTCAAAGTCCCCTCGCCCCTCCAGCCCTCAGTCCGCCTCACTCCGACCATGATGCTCTATGCTGGCCGCTCTCAGGATGGCAGCCACCTTCTGGTAAGATTCCAGCCCCCTTGGTTGGTTCTTGGTTCCTGCAGCCCAGGCACAGCCTGTCTGGCCCTGGCCCTGACTTCCCTCATTTTTCTTAGAAAAGTGCCAGGTACTTGCATCAAGAGCTGCCAGTGAGGATTGCTCACCGCATCAAGGGTTTCCGGAGCCTTCCTTTTATCATTGGCTGCAACCCCACCATACTGCACGTGGTAAGGTGGCCTCAGGGGGTGTGAGTTTTTCTAGAGGGGACTGTAGATCAGTGTGCCCACTGCCCACGGGGCGTATCGGGAGACGGGAACAGAGTGGGAGAACCTTCTCTACCAAAAGGATTCAGGGCCAGAGGGCTCAGACACAAGCCCTCGGAGGCCAAAGCTGCATATTTACTGAGGCTTAAAAGGCCACAATGGAGGTTTAAACCAAGTGCATTGGGGTGGATGGCAATCCCCATGGGTAAGCATGGGTGGCTGTTCTCCACCCAGTGCCCACAGCATCCCTGTGAACTTCCACACCTCTTCCTTGCAGCACGAGTTGTACATCCGTGCCTTCCAGAAGCTGACAGACTTCCCTCCGGTGAGGGCTGGGCCAGGGCAGGGTGAGGGGCTGAGAGGTCAGGGCCAAAATATCCAAGCTCATGACTCTGTGGCCTGTAGATCAAGGACCAGGCGGACGAGGCTCAGTACTGCCAGCTGGTGCGACAGCTGCTGGACGACCACAAGGATGTGGTGACCCTCTTAGCGGAGGGCCTGCGCGAGAGCCGGAAGCACATAGAGGTCAGGGGCAGCACAGTGGGCACCCGGGCCTGTTGGGGGGCCTGGGAAAGGCACGGGGTTTCTGAGGACCCACTCTTCACAGGATGAGAAACTCGTCCGCTACTTCTTGGACAAGACACTGACCTCGAGGCTTGGGATCCGCATGTTGGCCACACATCACTTGGCGCTGCATGAGGACAAGGTGGGGGTGTTGGGATCTGAGACCTACCAGATGGGGTGCTGGGATCTGAGACCTTCCAGGTGGGGTGCTGGGATCTGAGACCTTCCAGGTGGGGTGCTGGGATCTGACACCTACCAGGTGGGTGCTGGCATCTGAGAACTTCCAGGTGGGATAGACGGGACCAAGCCAGGGTCCCCTGGGGCTAGGGGCTGGGCCAAGGGCCTGGAAGAGGCTTGGGGCTGCTTCAGGGGTCCAGAGATGGCAAGGTGTGGGTCAAGGTACTGCTAAGTACTGACTTTCTTTCTCTTGCCAGCCCGACTTTGTTGGCATCATCTGCACTCGCTTGTCGCCAAAGAAGATTATTGAAAAGTGGGTGGACTTCGCCAGGTGAGGCTAGAACAGCTAAGGGGGTGGAGGGCTTCTGGCTGGGGAGGGTTGGGTCTGAGCCCTTGCCTGGGACAGGGTTTCTCAAATGTGGCACTATTAACATTTTGGGTCAGATAAATCTTAGGGGCTGTCCTGTGCTTATTTGGATCTTTAGAAGGAATCCTGGCTTCTATTCAGTACAACTCGCAGTTGTGGCTAAGGAAAAATCTCTCTAGAAATTGCATCTGGGGTTGGTGGAGGCAGAACCACCTCTGTCTGAGAATCACTGGCTAGGTTTGCTCCTATCCACAGACGCCTGTGTGAACACAAGTATGGCAATGCCCCCCGCGTCCGCATCAATGGACACGTGGCCGCCCGTTTCCCCTTCATCCCTATGCCGCTGGACTACATCCTGCCTGAGCTCCTCAAGAATGCCATGAGGTAGACTGGCTGGATATGTTGGAAGGGGGCAGACAGGAACTGGGGTGAGGCTGGGGCACCACCGCCTACTGGTGTTTCCTCCCCACATAGAGCCACCATGGAGAGTCACCTCGACACTCCCTACAATGTCCCAGATGTGGTCATCACCATCGCCAACAATGATATTGATCTCGTCATCAGGTTTGGCCTGAGTGGGAGTTAGGCTGGGAATGTGGGGGTCGCTATTTCTGCCTTGCTGCATGACCTTGAGCCAGGAGCTGCTCTACTCTGAGACTTGGTCCCTGGTCAGACAGAATGCTCTCTGGTTTTGAATGCCGTGAGTTGGATAGGAATGGATCTGGGGCTGGCTGCAGGTGCCAAGTCCTATCCTTGTCAGCAACTGAGGGGCCTGGAGTGGGGAGTTAGGAGTAACCAGTCCACGATGTTGGGTTGGTAATAAGTGTAAAATCCCATGAGAAGGTGTAAGCAGCTAGTGGCCCAGGCAGAAGTGAGGATGGAAGGATGTTCCTTAAAAAACAAGGGCCAGGGTCTGGATGGATCCCATCCCATCCTTGGGTGGAAGGGGCAGGAAGGCAGACTTGGCAGTTTATTTGAGAGGTAGTGAGGCTCCCACCAAAGCGGAGCCAAGCCCATGTTATCAACATCTTGCCAGGATTTCAGACCGGGGTGGGGGCATCGCTCACAAGGACCTGGACCGGGTAATGGACTACCACTTCACTACAGCTGAGGCCAGCACCCAGGACCCCCGGATCAGCCCCCTTTTTGGCCACCTGGACATGCACAGTGGCGGCCAGTCAGGGCCCATGCACGGGTGAGGCCCCACCTGGCCAGGATGGAGGGGTAGGGGGGCCCCAGGAGACCTAAGCCTCTGAAGCTTCTATCCTGTCCCCCTGCCCATCCCAGCTTTGGCTTCGGGCTGCCCACGTCACGGGCCTACGCGGAGTATCTCGGCGGTTCCCTTCGACTGCAGTCTCTGCAGGGCATTGGCACAGACGTCTACTTGCGGCTCCGGCACATTGATGGTCGAGAGGAAAGCTTCCGCATCTGACCCCACAGCCCTCGGCCTACTTGCCTGCCTCACCTGGGCCCCACACCCTGCCAGGACCTTTTGGGCGAGGCAGGGTGCCACCCTGGTCCACATGCTGCTGCATCTTGGGTCTTCGGGCCCCAAACAGATGGAATTCCATGGAGCCCGGTGCCACCCCTCCTCTACAGAGGTCCACTGCTTCCCTGCCTCCAGACCTTGGAGGAGAGGAAGTGGGGACCCTTGAGGCCTCCAGCACCAGCTCCTTTATTCTCGTTCCTGGGGAACCCCGACCTTGACCTGCTGTTTGTTATTAAAGTTCACATTTTGAATGCCCTCTTGGGCCCCGTGTGTGGGGAGGGCAGGTGAGCTTTTGTTGCCACCCTGTTCTGGTTCCCTGGGCCCTTGGGTTAATGTAGCTTGTGTCCCAGTCTTGAACTGTCCAGACAGCCTGTCAGGCCAGGTATAGAATTGCCCCCAAAATCTCTTTTCATTTAACAAATGTTAAATTTCGTTTAACAGATGTTTCTGGGTCCCAGCCTATATTGAAGGCCCAAGCTGGCCCAGCCTCAGGCCTCAGTTCTGACACCTCCCTTCCTGGCAGTCACAGGTTCTGGAGGTGAAGGTTACCAGACTGGGCAACCTCCTTGAGCCACCTGATTCCTGAGTAAGGTTAAAAATACTGCCTGCCAGCTGTGCCTGCTTCTGCCAAGAAAAAGGAACATATAAAATTATATCCTGGCAGGCCCCAGGGGACAGTGGGGCCCTGGTAGGGGAGGGCAAAAGGAAAGGGCTCCAGACAGCAGGTGGGGACCCAAGGGAGGGGAAGAAGGGCCTGAAACCCTGCTTGGTGGGACTGGTGATAGAAGTAGGGGATTGAGGAAGACAGGAATTGTATCTGGAGGTCAAAAGCCAGGTGGTAGAAACCATAGTGACTTAGCAGGCTGAAAATCCTGCTGGCTGTGGCGCAGGGGACGTGGCTGGAGTCTGGCCAGGAAATACAGGCTTTTATCCTGTAGGCAGCACGAATCCATGGACAGATTTTCAGCAGGGCAGGGATGTTTCCGGTTGGATTTCCTAGAAGCAGACGCTGAAAGGAGGCTTTGTGTCTATGTGATTTGTTGAGAAAGTGCTCCAGTTAGGGAGTAGGAGAAGCAGGAAAGGGAAGGGCAGGAGGCCAGACAAGGATATCATCTCAGGCAAAAGTTCAGGGCTAGCTAGTAAGTTCTGCCTTAGAGTTGGAGGCAAGAGAGCTAAGTTCCACAGTCATTGATGAACTGTGCTTGATAATCATTGGTTAATGTCTGTATTGGAAAGTAGGGGTGGATAGGTACTTAAACTTCCAAACTGAAAACTTCCCTTTGCTTTTTTAAGATTTTATTTACTTATTTGAGAGAGAGGAGAGAGAGAATCCCAAGCAGAATCTGTACTGAGCCCAGACCCCACCACAGGGCTTGATCTCATGACCCTGAGATCATGACCTGAGCCAAAATCAGAGTCAAACACATTACTGAGATCATGACCTGAGCCAAAAGTGGGAGTCGGATGGATATGAAACCAACTGAGCCACCCAGGCTGAGCCACCCAGGTGTGTCCCCACCCACCCCCCCCTCACTCCTCCCAGCCCCCCACCTGCCTTTTCAGCTTTATTTAGGCAAAACAGCTTTATTGGCCCAAGGGATAGTTTCATAAAGAGCCTCTGGCTTTTGAATGCACATCAGAAGTAATCTGGATCTGAAGAAGCAACAAAAAGAGATTCCAGAGGGTCTGGGTGAAGCATCCACACAGTTCTAGAAATAACAGATTTGCACATTAGAAGGAGGATTAGAGGGAGACTAGTGAAGAGGTTGGTGTAGTAACCTGGATCAGGGATTTATAAAGCCTGGGCTAATCCTCAACTAGAAAGGACAGCAGCCCTGTAACAAGATGTTGGGTGAAGTCAAAAGTGAGGCACCAGGACCATGGGTGGAGAGAATAACAGTCTTGAAGATGGTGGGGGGGTGGGTAGGATGGGAGAAGGCACTGTGATTTTTTTTTAAAGATTTGTTTTAGAGGGTGGGGAGGGGCAGAGGGAGAGGGAAACCATCCTAGGCAGATACTGTGCTGAGCATGGAGCCTCATGAGGGGCTCTATCTCATGACCTGAGCAGAAACCAAGAGTCCAAAGCTTAACTGACTGTGCTACCCAGGCGCCCCAAGGCATTACAATATTTTTTTCTTGCCTGACTTATTTCTTTGGCTTATTATGCAGCCAAACACTTGGCATTCACTGCTCACTCTCCCACCAATTCTCTGATTTCCGAAAGTTACTAGTGCTTCCCACTGCCATCACCCCACCCCCAGCGAACTCCTTTACTTCTTGATCTGAAACTCAAGTTCCAACTCCGTTAGAATTGAACATTCCACTCCATTAGAACTGCTTTTAATCCCAATAACCAATCTGTAAGTCAAAGAAAATTCAGAGAATGGCCAGAAAGAATGTTTATTGAGTACCTACCCTGTTTGACACTGTGCAACACACTTTATATACCAAAGAGATAGGTAAATATATGGCTTACCCTTTATATAGCTATATAGGTTATACACTTATATATAATTTAACCTTCACCGGCACTCTGAGGTTGAACACCCTTGCACAATTTACCCAGAGCAGGGTCAGAACCCAAGATTCCTCACTAAGCTCAAGATGTTCTCCAGTATGTCCACTGCCTTTGACTAGATTGTTTAGGGGATGTCTGTTGTGCAGCGCCTGGTTCTGAGAAAGGTTTCATTCAAAAAAGAAAAAAAAAAAAAAGAAAAAAAAGGTTTCATTCTATGAGAGCAATTTACTGGCTATCTCTGGACACAGCCATCCTGTTCCCCTCATCCTGATTGAAGGAAGGCGGCTCCTTCAATCTTTATAAAAGGGGTGATCTGGATTAGTCTGGCAGAGATGGGCGGCGAAAAGGTGGGTGTTAATTCGGGGCTCAAAGCCTTAATGCCAGGCAGCCAGGGAGGCCGCTCTAGCTCGCCCCGGTACCGGGTAAAGTGGGGGTAGCACCTCTGCCAAGGGGCACACCCTCGCTTCCTCGGGTACCAGGCACTTTAAAAAGACCGGGCTGAGTCATCACACCAGGAAAATCTCTTTCAACTCGAGGTCCAGCCATATTTCCAGACGGAAAAAAATCCCAGGGCAATTGGCACAGAAAGGTCAAACTTGGGCCGGGGCGGGGGTAGGCCGCGTTAACCAATGAGCTCTTGCCATGTCACAGATCCCACCCTCAAGTGGGCAGCGGCCTCCGCCACGCGTCGCTGACCCGGAACTAAAGTGCTGCGCGGCGCCGGATTCTGGCGTCATCTCCACTACAGCGATGGCGGCGCAGGGAGCAGCTGCTGCGGTTGCGGCGGCGACTTCAGGGGTCGCGGGGGAGGGCGAGCCCGGGCCCGGGGAGAATGCGGCGGTCGAGGGGACCGCCCCGTCCCCGGGCCGCGTCTCTCCTCCGACCCCGGCGCGCGGCGAGCCCGAAGTCACCGTGGAGATCGGAGAAACGTACCTGTGCCGACGCCCGGACAGCACCTGGCGTGAGGGCGGGGCCCAAAAGGCCAGGGGGCGGGGTCTGAGGGCGGGTTCTCTGAGGGGCTGGGGTCATGAGGGCGGGGCTTTGAGGGAGGAACGCGGGGCTTTGAGGGAGGAACGCGGGGCTTCGGGCGGTCCCCGGCGCCGCCTCCAAACCCCACTAGTCAAGACAGTCACCGAGTTCTTCTAATGCTATGTAGAGCTCCCATTTCACTTGCTCGTCCAATCTCAGGCTTCATTGCCTTTTCAACAAAATCTTGGTTCTTTGCTGGTGTCTCTTGTCTCTGCGACTTCCTCTTCTAGCCCTCTTTAACAAGCGCCAGTGGAGAGGACCTACGGAAACAACAAAAACGAACTTCCCTTCCCCTTCCCTCTCCTCATCTTTAGAATAAACCCCAAATTCCTTAGAATGGCGTGCATCTTTTTGACCTTTCTGGTTCCTAGCCACCCCTAGCAAAGGCCCTTACCAGAGCAGACCACATTGTACCTTCTGAAGACCATATGCCTTTTACCGCCTGTGCCCGCTGCTTTGAATGTCCTTTCTTTCCTTTCTCCTGGTTCACCTGGTTAGCTCTTACTCAGCCTTTTAACATACCATCACTCCTGTGATGCCATTACTGACTCCCTTCAGGCAGAGTGAGTCGTTCCTTTCTGTATGTGCCTGCAACATTTTCTTCATACCTCAGCCATGGTATATGTGACCTATGTTGTCATTGTCTGTCTGCGTCTTCCTCTGTCAAAGTGGGAATTTTCTGGAGGGCAGGACCTCTGGTGATTCACTGCTATGTCTTCTCTACCCAGCAGTAGCACAGCATAGGACCAGACACACAGTGGTTGTCTTACTCATTTGTTGAATGGTCTGCTAGTTGTCAGGTACTATGCTAAAACCTTTAGAAGCATTAAGTCACCCTCTGAGACGGGCACTATTATCCCTGTTTTGTAGATGAAGAAACCGAAGGTCAACCAAAATAATTTGCAGTTAAATAAAGGACGTGGGGAGCTGGGGTTATATATAAACGCGGAGCCAGCCCTCATGACTCCTGAACAAATGAACAACTGAGTATAAAACAAACATTGAGTTTGGAGCCAGACTTAAGCTCAGTTAAGTGTTAACTTCTTAGCACTTTGTACATATGTGAGCCTGGGTAAGCCTCCGTTTTTCACCTGCAAAGTAAGAGTAACAGCTCCAACCTGGCCCACTTAACAGGCAGTGACCAATGGAATGGCAGATGTGGCCAGGTGCTATTAGCTTATGTGTGACCCTGGAATCTGGAAACTGCTCCTCGGTGTGAAGGACCCTTCTTGTTCATTCCTGCCTTCCTTCCTGATGATCCTAGCCTTTTTCTTTCCCAGATTCTGCTGAAGTGATTCAGTCTCGAGTGAATGATCAGGAGGGCCGAGAGGAATTCTATGTACACTACGTAGGCTGTGAGTGACTTGGGGGTATTCGGGCCTGGGTTGGGGGAGAGGGATGGAAGGGCAGCTCACTCACGGCCCGTCCTCACAGTTAACCGGCGACTGGACGAATGGGTAGACAAGAACCGGCTGGCGCTGACCAAGACAGTAAAAGATGCCGTGCAGAAGAACTCCGAGAAGTACCTGAGTGAGCTGGCTGAGCAGCCCGAGCGCAAGATCACTCGCAACCAGAAGCGCAAGCACGATGAGATCAATCACGTGCAGAAGGTCCGGGCCCCTCCCCTTCTCCAAGGCCCCAGGAGGCTCAGCTGCCTCTGCCAACTAACTCCCTTGAGTCCCGGTGCTAGAACCACAACAGCTTCTGT